GAGAGACCTGAATATGTTGCTTTCCCATAGGACTATAAAAAAAACTGAATTTAGTAACATGATTTTTCTGTCTATCGTAACAGACCTTTGAGGGTAATTTGACCACGAAGCCCATCAATGGAGCTATTTTCATCTTCAACCCCAGGACTGGTCAGCTCTTCCTCAAGATCATTCATACATCTGTGTGGGCTGGACAGAAACGTCTGGGACAGGTACAACACTGCTCTACCGCTGCTCACTTTCATAATCACCAGTACTGCTTTTTGTGTTGACTATTCCAGTTTGTATTTTGTTTAGTGATTTGATTTCTCATTTTTTGTAGCACAAACCTTTACTGTGGGTAGTTTTGAATTATGATGTTTTTAGGAAGAAAGCCTCTTACACTCATTGCATTTTTACATTTGGTCCGTCTTTTGTTCCAAGTTTATTGTGCTTCTTTCTTTTGTCTACAGAAAAATTTCAGCTAAATGGGAAATATCACAGATCACATAATATGCTGCCTTATCACTGCGTTTTGCCTTTAACAAACTATTATTCGATATAGTTATTATATCGTTATATTTTAATTATCATTGTGGTGATATTAGGAAGGCAATGATAAACTGAAAGTGTTGCTGAACACTGATTTGATTGTTTACTTCTGAGTGTCTTAACTTCAGGCTTGTTTTGTCTCTGTAGCTGGCCAAATGGAAGACAGCCGAAGAAGTGGCTGCCCTGATTCGCTCCCTCCCTGTAGAAGAACAGCCGAAACAGATCATTGTAACCAGGAAGGGCATGCTGGACCCTCTGGAGGTGAGACTCAGTCATGCTAAGAACTGCTATAATAATTACAAACCTTGATGTGTCATTTTAGTGTAATTTTTAAATATTGGATACATACTCAAGTGCTTTCCTGTTCTAATGCTTTTTCTGTGCAGGTCCACTTGCTCGACTTCCCCAACATTGTGATCAAGGGCTCTGAGTTACAGCTGCCCTTCCAGGCCTGTCTGAAGGTGGAGAAGTTTGGTGACCTGATCCTTAAGGCTACAGAGCCTCAGATGGTGCTTTTCAACCTCTATGATGACTGGCTCAAGACCATCTCATCTTACACAGTGAGTTTCACTCCAAGATTAAATGCAACATATTCAGTTTGTGTCTCTGTGTAAATGCTTCTGTAATATTTTTGATTCAATAGACAAATTATAACACTATCAAGCTGTTAGAAAGCATCTGTGCTTATTTACCAACAAGAGTAATGACTACAAAACAAACATGTCCATGTGGTTATCAAAGTTACCTGAACTGATCCAAGCTCATTTCCAAACAAAACTCATTAGGGTGCATTTACCTTTGGTGACATCAACTTATTCCCCTGTGTAAACAGTTTGTGTTCGGTGCTCTGCTCCATCTTTAGGCCTTCTCCCGACTCATCCTGATCCTCAGAGCACTCCACGTCAACAACGACCGTGCAAAGGTGATCCTGAAGCCTGACAAGACGACTATCACTGAGCCCCATCACATTTGGCCCACGCTCACAGATGAGGAGTGGATCAAGGTGGAAGTGCAACTCAAGGATCTCATTCTGGCCGATTATGGCAAAAAGAACAAGTAAGTGTTTTAGGATGAACTTTCTTGAGTAAAGGCAGTACTTTGCACAGAGACTGTCAATCGGGCATTTTTTTCTACTTTTACTATAATTTAATAGAACAGAATAAAACATTTAAAAAAAGACTTGCATTTAGTAGTCAATACTTCCTTTCTCTCCCTCCAGTGTGAATGTGGCCTCACTGACCCAGTCTGAGATCCGTGACATCATCCTGGGTATGGAGATCTCTGCTCCGTCACAGCAGCGCCAGCAAATTGCTGAGATTGAGAAACAGACCAAAGAGCAGTCGCAGCTCACCGCCACACAGACCCGCACTGTCAACAAGCATGGTGATGAGATCATCACCTCCACCACCTCCAACTATGAGACCCAGACCTTCTCATCCAAGACTGAGTGGAGAGTGAGGTGTGCAGGCAGAGTTTAACCTCAGAATTTGTTTAGAGGGGCTTTTTTTTTTTTTTTACTGTGCACTGTAGTTTCTTTGGCAGTCATAATTTGAGGTATTTTGGTTTCCATATCAGTTGGCTTTAATGATCCTTGTCCATCACTTGTCAGAGCCATTTCTGCCGCCAACCTGCATCTCCGAACCAACCACATCTATGTTTCATCTGATGACATCAAGGAGACAGGTTACACCTACATCCTGCCCAAGAACGTCCTCAAGAAGTTCATCTGCATCTCAGATCTACGAGCACAGGTACATGGATCCATAGTACTGCACTTCGTCTTTGTCAACCGTCTCTGAATGTGTGTTATTCAAATTTAGTTGCATACTTCTGCATCTCAGGTTGAGGGGCCCTCTTTCACATTTGTGCAGAGTGACAGAAACAAACTGCTTCTGTACATATTGAGCATGTTCTGACCGTGCACTGTGTTGTTCCAGATTGCAGGTTACCTCTACGGCACCAGCCCACCAGACAACCCCCAGGTGAAGGAGATCCGTTGTATCGTCATGGTGCCACAATGGGGGACACATCAGACTGTCCACCTGCCCAACCAGCTGCCTGGTCATGAATACCTTAAAGTAAGACACATGTTCCAGCTCATTATTTAATTATGGATGCTCATTAGTTGTACCAGCAAGTACTTTTTTTGTCCCAGCAATTTTTAAGTTCTTTCCTTTTACTTAAACAGGAAATGGAGCCCCTCGGCTGGATCCACACCCAGCCTAATGAGTCACCTCAGCTGTCTCCGCAGGATGTCACTACTCATGCCAAGATCATGGCTGACAACCCTTCTTGGGATGGAGAAAAGACCATCATCATCACTTGCAGGTAGGTTTCATTACAAGACACCTGCTGTCCATCTGTCACAGCAGGATTTGAGTCAGCAAAATCTGGAACAACTTTCTGCATCCTAGCAGTTAATATACGGTATGTGAGGCATACTGATTAAAGGCATCCAGATCAGACTTGCCTGGAAAATCAATATCAAATGTATTTTAATGAGTAGCTTAATATTGTTGACTGATTTTTTTTTTTTAAATGTGTCCTTGCATTGAAAAGGGTTATTACAAAGTCACAAATATGTAATTGAGTTACTTTTTTGTGCTGTAATATGAAATGAACTGGTTCTTCAATGCATTTTACTTCTGGATTTCAGCTTCACCCCAGGCTCATGCACGCTCACAGCCTACAAACTGACACCCAGTGGCTACGAGTGGGGTCGTCAGAACACAGACAAGGGCAACAATCCTAAAGGTTACCTGCCTTCCCACTATGAAAGAGTGCAGATGCTTCTCTCTGATCGCTTCCTGGGCTTCTTTATGGTGCCTGGCCAAGTCTCCTGGAACTACAACTTCATGGGTCAGTAGCCATGGTTTTTGTTTTCATCTATGAAGTTTTGTTTTATACTTTTATTATCTGACCCTTAATGATGTTGCTTTAAAACAGAGTTTAAATCGGTTTGGTCATATGTAATATCCTCAATACTGCTTTAGGTTTTCATTTGTGTCAGAAATATGTGGCATACATTGATATTTCCACTCTGTGTCAGTTTGATTGATTTTTCAGTTTGATTGATTTTTCACTATCATGTGGAAATGCAAATAACCGTTTCATTCCTCAGACTGATGCACAATATCTTATTTAAATATTATTTAATGACTTTTTAAGACGAGACATGAGCCATGCATGTCATAGTGCTCAAACCTCTGACACCACATTGTAGAATACATGCAGGATTGGCAGAATAGGTGACTCTAAATAACCATTTTTACTTGTCTTGCAACAGGTGTGCGCCATGATCCCAACATGAAGTACGACCTGCAGCTGGCCAACCCCAAAGAGTTCTACCACGAAGTCCATCGGCCCTCGCACTTCCTAAACTTCGCCTCACTGCAGGAGGGTGAGATCTACAACGCCGACCGAGAGGACATGTACGCTTGAGTCGATATACTGCTCACGACACATTTTTGTAGATAGCTCTACCACAATCATGTGGAGCCAGTCCAGAACAGCCCTTGTAATATTTCGATTGAACACATGCAACTGTGATGTTTGGAAATTTTTATGTAAAGGCTTTAGGACATTTTAAGAATCTGTTCATTTTTTTTTAGTGTTTTCTACAAACTGTTGTTTTTGTGTTTTTTTTTTTTCTTGCACCCCACTGTCTCCTCCCTTGTTTTACTAAGGCTTCTTTAAGTAAGCCTGGGATTTTTTTTGGTTTCTAGTACATTAAAGCATATGTGCGTTTGTGTGTAGTTTCAGTACACAGTACTTCACTGTAATATTTGATAATTGACATTGTTTCAGAAAGGGTAAAGACTTACTTCCCCTTAGCTCTTTGAGAAATTAAAGTTGTATTTTCACGCAGTAATGCCCTGTTACTATGTTGTACTATACATCTTGTGACATTGTAGCTTGGGTTTAAATAAAGATCACAATTTTTATAAATATTTGTCAAGTGATATTGTAATCTGTCATTGTAATTTTTTTTTCTAAACATGTACATGTGGTGTAAGCAGAAAAGAAGTGAGGCATTTAAGGTAATTTTGGCAGTACAGGGGAACTTTTTTGGCTTGCTTCCCTATTCAGTGTGGCCAGAAGTCACCATAGCCTCCAGTGACACACGGTTTGGTTTCTGACTTGCCCACGCACACTTCTGTTTAGATAACAGGGACTTGAAAATGGGGCCTACTATTAAAGGACGGATTCAACTGCCTTTAAGTCTGGTATAATGAAGTCACATTGCAGGTGTAGCTTTCTGTCTCATAACTGTTTTTATTTTGGTTATGTGATCGATATTTATTGGACAGCTATAGGTCAGCATTTCCGACTGCAAGTCTATAGGGGAAATTTCAATGTTCACGCTCTGGTGCATGCATCTCTGCTCGACTTGGCAGCCGGGTTTTTGTATGTGTGCTCACATTGGTCAGAGGGGTAGGAGGTTCCTACAGCGAGTAGGCTGCAGGAGAACCGTCCTGGACTGTTCAGCCTTGTAATACAGTGCATTGCAGAGTACTCGATGTCCTTGTATTTTGTGTGTAGGCTGTGTTAATGTGACTACGCCAGTTAAATGCATGACGTGTTGTCGGAAGAGGAGCAGGTCAAGTTCAGACGTGTCTACGGCGTTGGCTCAGCAATGTACGCGCTTTAAACTTTACACCAACGCTAGTTTATGAAAGTGTTTTCACATTCATCATGTCGTTTAACGGCTGACTGACATGTCGCACTGACGAGCCAGTCTCGGTTTCGATAGCATTTCAAGAGCATGTCAAGCGAGCTTCCCGAGTTCAGACATGGAGGAACCTGAAGCACACGCCGACACTAAAAACACAGAGAGCTGCTTTGACAAGACGTCCTCCGCTTTAACCGTTGACGATGTGTACGAAATTGCCAAACTGATTGGTACCGAGGTGGAGAAACTAATCGATGGTTATGGCAAAGATAGCGTCGTGGGGCTGGTGCCGAAAATAGTGAAAGTGCTGGAACTGCTGGAGAGTTTCGCCTCGAGGAACCATGCTCACAAACTGAAGGAAGAGGAGCTGCTGAAGACCTTCGAGACGATACAGCTGCAGCAGCAGAAGAAACGCGGTGGGAAAGAAAGCGAGGAGGGCAACGACAAAAATGAAATACGGGTGAGCTACATGGGAGCTCTTAATCCTCTCAGCGTTTTGTAAACAATATACCGACGGCGTCACTGCCTTTTACCTACTGTGCGTGTTATACTACCATTACAACCGTGTAACAACAGGACTGTTTCGGTGCTAAGTCGTGACAAACATTAGTTAGTTGTCAGACAGGCTAAAGGACAGTAGCTACAGTCCATGGCTGACACCCACCATATTCAGCGAAAACAAAACAGTAAAGATATTGAAGACATTTGTATTGAGAGGAGTTAAAATCGAAATTCGTGCATTGTAAAAGACATTTAATCTTGATTGTATGAGCCCTGGTGTTATTTGGTGTTAATTGTGTATAAACCCGAAATTGACCTGAAATAATATTCGTACCACCCTGTGTCGTCAAGGCAACTACGGCGAGAGAAGGGCTGCAACTATTAATCTGTCCACTCTTCTCAATTAGTCAATTATCCGTTTCATCTTCAAAATGCCTTGTATTGTGCGATAAACAGACATTTAAGGTTTACTTCAACATTTTTTCTCATGGTGTATAGGTTACCTATCTTGTGTAAAAAGTGTATGCGACACTAGTGATTTTAGCTAGCTTCGAAAGGATTAGGCACAGCTCATTAAATAATAGCTAATGTTGTCAGAGAAGAAGCTAGCTAGCTAGTTAATTAGTAGCACTGCCTCAGAGAAGTCACACAGTCAGACATGTAGCTACATGTAAAAGTCGTGTATAAGCATTAATAAATTAATTTGATGCTAAGTATCAAAGATAAAGCAGAATACTCATTCTTTAAAAATGAAAGTGGATGTACAACAATCATTAATTTGGGCACTGCCTGTATGTGGTGTTAGTGGGCACCCTTTACCTCTTCATGCATCACACGTGCAAATAACTAAACACATGGAAGGATAACTGGATTACAGGGGCCCAAGTTGGTCAGGGGTTCCCTGGGCCTGATCTTGCATTTTAAGTGACTGTTAATGTTTCTTGTTGGAAATTCAACAAGAAGAGAGACACAAAATGGGTCCAGAGACTCAAAAGAAACACAAAACCAGTGCAGACACTCAAAACAACTACAAAGAGACACACACTGATCACACAAAATAACTACAAAGAGACACAATCTGACCCAGTGAGAAACAAAATGACTACAAAGGGATGCAAAACAACTACAGAGACACAACAGACACAGAAAGCACCTATTATTACTACTGGTTATTGGGGTCACCAGAGATGACATTTTTATTCCATGCTTATGGTGCTGTGACATGATTACAGGCAGTTATTGTACTTCCACAGCAGGAGCCTGCTATTACATGGTATTATGGATTATTAACACACCAAAGAACTTCTTTGCTGTGAGAAAAAAAATCTTTCAAATTGTTTTGTAAAGGCATATCGGTTATTTGTTTTGAGGTACTTTGATCATACTATTAAAACGTAGCTAATAATTCAAATTATTTGTTCTATGCTATTTAATCTACATTGTTGCCAGTTCCCTATTGTACAAAATGTATTTTGGTACTGCTTATCAGTAAGCATTTTTAGCCCTTTACACTTTAAATTGTAGTATCAGTGCTTTGTAGAAAAACAGTTGTTATAATCATGGGTGAGAAAGAAGAGGTGTGGTTCACATAAGTCAGAATTTGCTGCTGAGATGTCTTGGAACCATTTCAGCAAAGCATCTGTAATGATTAAACTACAAAATGACTCATCCACTTGGACACAACCTGTTTTGCTGAATCCAAGTCCCGAGATGCTCAAGAGATTTTAGAACCCATTTTAAATTAGTTTTTTCTGAAAGTTTAGTGTCCTGTATCTGAGGCTGTAGTTTTACAGTCTGACTCCCATCCTCTCAAGCAGGAGCTGCAGCACAAGGAGCAGCAATGGAGCAGGAGGTGTGAGGAGCTGCAGGTACAGGTGCAACAGCTCCAGGAGGACAAGGAGGAGCTGCAGAGTAGGCTAAAGGGCAGCCATGCACAGGAAGGTATGTCCTTGGAGTAAAAATAAGTACTTTTAAAATCTGGATTGTGTCTACTAAATTACTTCACGAACCGGTTCCAAAAGACTTTTTTTTTTCGTTCTGAAAGGAGTCTTTCAATCACTTTATATTGTTTGTAGTCCTCACATGAATTTTTAAATTCGGCCCCAAAAGTACAGATTTTATGACTCAAACTTTTCTTTAAGCCTGAGTGAATCATGAGGATTTTTTTCCATCTGTGAGAGCTAACTGGACTGAATTAAAACTGGAAATGTCTATTGCAATGTATTTTCAAGATGGCTCTCAATTGTAGTAAATTTTAATTACATAAAATTGTTAAATGTGGATATCGAAACAACAGTCTAACATACTTTATACAGTGTAAACAGCAGGGAAACACAAAGTAATTTTTCTTACCCAGGCTGTCATTAGATGTTCTCTAAATAAGCAAATTACCCTCAAGGCAATTTGGTTATGTAGTTTTACTACTTCAGTCCAGGAATGCAAATTTATGTTAAAGCATCTGCAGTGAGAAATCTTTTCAACCAATTACAATACAAATTCAAAGCAGTGGGGTAACAGTTTGATGCACTGACACTGAAAGCAGTCAAACCGGTTGTTACAGTGTTTATAATGCAGTTATTTTGCAGGGTGAAGCAGGTACTAGAGGACTCAGAGGAGGCCTATGCTTACCCTTCAAATATAAAGAGGACGCCAAATAAAGAGGGCTAACAAATTTCAGCATGTAGAAATGTGAGCCAGAAGTCACTTTGCTGACTCTTGTTTTCTTGTACTGACAGGAAAAACATTCGCTCTTAATACTTTTGTGATTTATTTAACAAGAGGCCATTTGGCAGTTGAACGTGATCATTTTATTTTATGTGATGAATGTGACTGCTATCAGGCTCCCGTGCTTCATTCAGCTGAGGCAAAGTTCAGATGTGCTGTTGATTATTTCAGTTTATTTAGAAGAAATTAGTTTTAAGGCACTTCAGAGTATGGTTTAAGAGACACACCGTATTTTAAGTGCCAGTATGTCCAAGGGTCAATTTATCCAGACCATAAAAAAAATATCTTGCCATGAATGGTATCTAGCTGTGCGATAGCTTTGGTTTTATTTGCCCAGGTTTTGAGATATTCACGTCAGAGATCTCTGCCTCAACTCCGTTACAATAGAGGTGAATGGAAAGTTGTCTGTGGTATGTTGGCATAAAAAAAAAATCTTTCAGAAGACAATGTCTCATTTACTTGAGATAATCCACAGTTCTCCCTGTGAACTTGTGTGTTTGAACATTTTAGTGAAAAAATAGGCACCTCCACTCTGGATAAAGAAGTTGAATTTTCCAGATGTTTTCATGACTGAGCACTACAAACCAAATTCTATTTCACTGTTTATGATGTGATTGTGGCGTAATTTTAGAGATAGATATCTCCAAACCTGGGCACATTAAATTGAAACTACCTGCACCTACTACTACTACTACCTTAAGTCTGTGCAAAACATAGCAAGATCGTTGTGCAGTATCTTCTGTCACTTTCAGACTTTCATTAAGGTTATGTGGTAACAACCTATTATGTAGAGATTATCTGTAGATAGATTACACATTTTCTTGAAAGAGATGAGGCCTTGATTTAATTTGAAGTATATGCCCAGATTTATAAATTAACTCTGGCCACTGTCTACATAGTTTAATTTTACTCAGAAGCTACAAAACATATTTTGCATATATTTTTCACCACATAAATGGTAGGAATGGAGTGACAATATCCTCCTTTCTTGTATATTTTCGAACCCTGTATGCAGTCATCACTATACTCTCTGTATTTCCTATGGTTAGTTTATTACATGAAAGATTATGCAGCACTACAGATCAGTAAAGTGGCTTTATTAGCCATTAATTAACTATATAATAAAACAATATGACACCAGCTACCCCATAGGTGAATTTTGTCCTGTGTGTGGTAGACCGTGTCCAGCGGCAGGAGCGAGAGGTGATGCTGAAGCTGAAACAGGTGGTGGACAAGCAGAGAGATGAGCTGAGGGCTAAAGTCCAGGAGATAACCACCATCTCCAAAGAGGTGGAGGCGGTAAGGAGACAGAGACACACGTGTGATGAACCTTCTGCCTATGCTGACTGACACTTTCTCATTAAAAGCTGAATATTCATACACAGCAGCTTTCAACTTCTCAGAAATATTTGTCATTTAATTGATGAGCCAGTTGGTCGCTGGTGGACACTAGGTTTCTAGAGTGGAGAGAAAAGCAGAGAGAGAGAGAGCTGTCATCTTTGCTGGTGTGCATGACACCTATAGCACGTGGACACACAAGCACTATTATGAGGTTTATGACTGTGGGTACAAAGGTTTCGTTCCTTAAAGTCATGTTGACCTCCCCCACAGAAACAACATGTTTTATATTACTATCTTGCTAAAATTCTAGGTTTTGTAAAACTTAATAAACAAATAACACCTCCTAATGTGCATACATTATTACACAGTCATGCATCACATGCATCATCTAAAGAGAAATTACATCATGTAAACCACACCAGTAAACACACTGGAAGATAGGAAATGTGTTAACTATCAGGGAAAGAGTGCAGAGATTATCCACATAGGTGCCAGTTGAGGATTAGGCTGCACTTCAGACAAGTCTGGACAGAGTCTTGTATGAGTGTTTGCACATGTTTTTATGTGTGTCAAGGTACGTATTACACATGATTTTAATAGCAGCCATAACTGTGTTTATTTCTTGATGCTTAGCTTCATAAAAGACAGAATAAACGTCATGGTGTCTCTGTTTGCTCTAATGAATGCCTAGAATTTTTATCATCCTTAAAATGAATGCCTCACTTGTCTTGACATTGTGTGGTGTCATTCCTGTTCCTCCTCCTCCCCCAGACTTTTGGTCTAAATCCGATGCATGGACACATTTTCACCCCACTCTTCTACAGCTATTATTATTGGCCCGTTGCAGATAGTCTTTTTGGTCCAGCCCTGGCTTGTTGTCTGTTTGACTTTAAACCTGTTTAGTAGGTCTACTTGCTACTCATGATACAAATTTTGACTTCATATATATCTGTGTGTGTATGTGTACAGCTCCAGGAGCAGCTGGACCGCTTCATGAAGATGAATGCAGAGCTGCGACACAAGCAGAATGTTCTGCAGGCTCAGCTGAAGAGCACTGTGGAGAGGAAGGCCGACATGGAAGCTGATCTGAAGGAGAAAAGCAAAGAGATAGAAAACCTCCAAGCACAGCTGGATAGCGCCAATAGCAACAGCCCTGTACGCCTGTTATGTTTATGTTTCTTTCATTTCATGTGCAGTGAAGTACATCATACTGTAGTCTAATTGTCACTAATGCACATTATGTAACAATATTTATAATATTCAAAAACAGTGCTCATTGAGCTGAATATCAAAAAAGAGCATTTGGAATTAATTTTCTATCTCTATCGGATGTGGTCAGCTACAAAGTTGACCATCGTATATGATAATTCATTCTAAGATGTTTTTGACATTAGCTAAATGTGTAAAATGTAAATTTGAAGCTGGTAAAACTTAATAAGTGACTTTACTTTCAAACAAGCAAAACAAAGCATATTATATCTGCCTGTATGTCTTCAGTCTCCTCTAAGGAGCTCATGATACACTGTGTTTCCTGTGGTTTGAAGTAGTTTGGATGAGCCTGATGACTCTCTGTTCTCCCATCAGTCTAGTCCAAGTCAAACAGCTCGTGAGTCAACGAAAAAGACGACAGCTGACCAGAAGGATCCTGATCAGCCATGCTTCACCAAGAAAGAGGTGCGTGACATCATTTTCGAGAGGAATGAGCTCAAAACCAACCTGTTCCTGGTGCAGGAGGAGCTCAGCTACTATCAGAGGTGGGTCCACTTTGTGTGTGTGTGTGTGTGTGTGTGTGTGCGTGTGCGTGCGTGCATTTCTTGTTTTGCTATCCTTCAGAAGAAGTTTAGATGAACATGTTCTGAAGTTGCACATTTTAGTGAATTGAATCTGAGATGCAGATACATCAACTGTTGTGTTTGTGGGTAGTTTCCTCTCATTGATAGATGGAGTTTTCCAATTTTCAGAGTTTTAAAGAACTGATTCTTATGATCAAAATGACTGTTTCTGCAGGGAGATCCTGAATGAGGAGCGGTGTCCAGGGTTCCTCTTAGAAGCTGTCCGCTCAGCCATCAAGAAAAGGAGAAAGCTCATTAAGGCAAAGATGCTTGGAATTTCTGTGAACGAATGCAGAAGCAGGTCTCTCTTCCACACACAACACACATTCATCATATCCAGAAATAATGTAGGGATATGTTTAGAAGAGAACGAAGTTTATTCACAGTTTTTGTTGTGTTTTTTTCTCTCCAGTGACGAGGAGGAGAGTTCTTCTCTGTTTGAGCAGACAGAAGTAGATGGCACACAAGTAGACGGCACTGATAAACCAGCTGAGTCACGCATTCGAAACCTGTGAGTACAACCCACACTGCTAAACTGCACAGCTCTGACTTGTAACCAGAATACTGGTGTATGCACTATACATCTTATATACAATTTATGTGCAAAATTGTTGCCACAGCTGCAATGTCATGAAGTCCTATGATTCTGTGGACAACTTTTAATTTGACATTATGGAAGCAGGAAGTGGAGACACGTGGTGATATTCCAACCACTGGTGTACTACTCACCACCCAGGTACAACAACGCCTTTCATAGTCATACTGGCCATCGGGAATGCCGGCATGCGTGTCTTCAGACATTTCTGAGGTTATCTTTAATGTATGTGTGAGCAACCAGGCAAAACACACAAAGAAAAGTTATGCACACAAGTGAGCTTCTCCTCAGTGATTTTATCCAAAAAAGAGCTCATTGTTAAATAGGTCGGTAGATGCATACATGTTTTATTTTTTCTAGCAACGATGTACTTATGAAGCAGAGATCAGACTGTTGGGAGAGAGAAAGATAAACATCTGACATGTTACAAAAGTCCTGAGATAGATATGAAGCCTGATACTGTGAATTTTATGGTCTAAACTGAAACATAATGGTGTTTTGTATTAGCAATATGACATATATATACAATTTAGAATTCAGTTTCCAGCTCTTAATTCAGCAAATCAACAAAATATATTTTAAGAGGTGGCTCATGTTCATGCATTTACCCTTAAATGAAGTCTGTCTTCCTGATCTATATTTAGTATTATGTTGTTATTATGACAGAGAATGTTAACCAGTTTCAGCTAATAAAGGCAAGACTGGCAATTAACTAAGATTTACTCCAACTTAACCAGTATCTTTGGGAAAGTACTTTGAGTCTCTGTGGGGGAAAGTCTCTTGACTGAGAATTTGATTAAGTGAAGAATGTGTTTGACTACTCTTGTTTGGCCAAGACTGTAAAGGGTAAGGGTAAGTTGTGTTATGGGTCTTCTTGGCTTATTTAGCCTATCTAAAATGGTAGACAAATTAATGACAGTATTGTCACTTCTGGTGCAGATTATTTTTTAGCCCTAAATCTCAGAGACACATGTAGAAAGCAGATATAATATAAAATACATATATGTAATACAGCGTGAGCAATTAAAGGCAAAGGAAGAACAATGAAAACTCAGATGGCCCAGAACCACCACTGATATAAAAACTACATCAGAGGGGGTGTCGTGTGGCGTAGTGATCTAAGCAGGCGCCCCATGTGTAGAGGCTACAGTCCTCGCTGCAGTTGGCCCCGGTTCGAGTCCCCCATCGGACGGCCTTTGCTGCATGTCATTCCCCCCCTCTGCCTCCCCATTTCCTGTCTCTCTACTGTCCTGTCGAATAAAGGCATAAAAAGCCCCAAAAAATATACTTAAAAAAAAAAACTACTACATCAGAAATACTGGTGACATCATCTGTGAATCAAAGCTATGGTTTTATCTCACTCTCTTGACACTGTCACCATCCTGGGATCTTCACCAATCCTGGTCTATATTTAGCTGTAATCCCGGACCACAGATCTGACCTCAGGCCTGTCTTTTCTACTCTACAGCTTTGGCTTCCTGACGCGGTCAGGCAGTGGCCGGAGCCCCACCCACATGAGTAACTCCGCTTCCAGCTGGGAGATCATCGGAGACTCAGAGGCCACTGATGAGGCACAGCAGCGTCCGTCTTCCTGAGCCTGGTACTGACTGAGATTTGCCGAGTTTGTCTTCATTATTTGATCTGAAACAGACACATCTCTCTCCTCGGTCACAACATCTCCATCAGCTCGTGGCAGAAAATCTGGTTGTAGCCCAGTTAAAAGGTTAGGAGGTCGTTTTAATGCACTGTGTATAACAGAAAAGTACCATGTGAGTGTGAAAAAAGAGAATGTGTGAATGTTTTTGAACATTCAACCTAAGTTAATTTCCCCCTTATTTTTCCATAGAACTGTGAGGAACACTGTTTAACGTCAGTATAAATGACGCAGTGTACCACAGTATTAAGAGAGCTACTCACCTCAACAAAGATGCTTCCTTTTTTATGATATAAGTATTAATACAAAAATTATATTTTTCTTCATTGTAGGGAAAGTTTTACTGTATGTAATTTTTTGAAAAATGGGGTTATTATGCATAGATATTTATATAAATATGGATTTATATAAAAATATTTTTTAACAAAAACCAAAGACAACACAAAGTTACATATTCTGAAATCAAACTATCCAGTCGAATAATATTGAAAACAGTATATTAAGTTAACCACAAGAGGGCATAGATTCATTTTATGACTAATAAAAACATTTTACCACAAAAAATTATCATGTAACTATTACCTCAGTTGGGGAATTTTTAAGTCATGTGTCTACTCATGTATTTTTTGGGATTTGAAGCACTTTCATGCTCAAAGAAAAAGAAAAGATGTAGCCATAGCAGCAGACTCTTCCAGCAGTCAGTGCATTTTAATGGGCCTTAACTCCTTAAAAAAATATATTCTCTTCATTTTCAGTCGTCAGCCTTTGCACAGCACCAAAGCATTTGGCTGGTGTGTATCTGATGTAGGTGCCATAAGTGTGTGTATACAGACACGTGTTTTAGCTTGTGTAGCAGCCTTGGTTACTTTACTTTTAAAGGAAGCTGTGTGCTTCCTTGTGGAAATGATAAGTGGTGTGGGTATTTTTTCTCTCCAATGTTAGCTGACAAGTTAACATAAAGTATCTGACCATGGCTATTTGACAGATATGTTACCTCTAAAAGTCTGACCGCAGTACTGCTTAGACAGACCAGTGGTATTGTATTTTTTTGAGAGACAATTTATGAACTTCAAATCAAACCATGTCTTCCTGAATTACTGTATTTGCAATCTATTTTTGTAAGCATGTTATATTGGAAAGTTTGTGCTGACGAAGATGTCAATTGCCATGTTAGTGAACTTTATCGAAAATGTGATAAAAAATAATTCAAAATATGGATTTTCTGTGATATTGGAATTTCAAAATTCAATAAAATCCATTTAACACAGACTTTTATTGAAAAACTAGTCTCTGTGCATTTCTCCTCCATGATACATAATATTTTTTTTTACAGGAGCTCAAAGTGATCATGTAATCATCTTTGTACTGACTTTCTTGACTTATAAGGTGGACGAAGGCTTTCTTCATCATTTCCTGGAAGACTCAACAATAGATTCCGGGAAAAAGGGGAAAATCAGGGCTGTGTGTTTGTATGCCCTGCCAGTGTGTGCGGCGAGTTTTGTGTGTTAGTGTTCGACCATCTTTAAAAAGCTCTGTGTCTGCCTGAATAGAAGGAAGTGGCTCTGACTTCCCCAGGAAATGAGAAGAGGAAACCCCGGGGCTTCGACCTCTCTGGCTGCACTGGAGCCACAAGACGACTCACAGGAGAGAAAGGGAGAGAGAGAGAAAAAGGGAAGGAGGGAAGGGTGGAGGGTAGACAGAGAGATACTGCATTTCATTGTGCTGCCCTCTGACTGGAAGGAGAAAAAGTTGAGAGGAAAGAAATCGGGAATAGATTGGACATAAAGACGTGAGACAAAGATATTCGGCCCCTGGTTTTAGTTTTGGACTGGTGTGGAGATGAAGTTTCTCCTCAGCACTCTGAGCGCTCTGCTTTGCTGCTTGTTGTCCTCCTCACACGCACTGGATCCTGCTGGGAAGAATGTCTGCCATAGCATCAGGTACACTTAAACTTCACCTTCACTCACACCTGTTGGCTTTTGACTGTTTGGTTAAAAGATAACAGCAGGAACCAGTTGGTTACAGAAACTTATATTAATACTGTTCCTGTGACAGATTTCAGTGCCATGAGGAGTTCCACCTTCCTCGGGACTATAGGACTGTGCTGGCTATTGTTTTTTAGATATTTTTCCTCGTTAGACACCACAGTTGATAGGTTTCATATTTGTCAAACTGATTTGATTATTTTCTGTACATCAGCGACCCCTCCACCCTTGTCTGTTGCATGGGATGGCGTCAAGAGGGAAAAGAGTGCTCTATACGTGAGTTTAACTATTCAAATGGACAGCAGTCTGTAGAAATTATGCTTTTACTGCCTCCATATTGTCTTTATTTTCATCATTTTGTCATTCACTTGTATGCCGTATGTGTATGTGTGTAGCTGTGTGTGAGGGCGAGCAGGCCTGCCTAAAGGATGAGGTCTGTGTGTATCCTGGAGTGTGTCGCTGCCCACCTGGCTACTACGGAGCTCACTGCAAAACACGTGAGTTACAATGGACAACAGAACACAACAGTTTGATTTACAGAGCACAAATTGCACTAAATATTGCAGTTCTATTGTGTGAAATAGGCAATTAAGGGTCTAGTAAGATGAAGCTAATATTACATTTTTGCCCTGCTCCTGTTTAACATATAATGCACAATGTGGCTTACTGATCACTTTCTCCAAATGTGTAGAATTTAAATAGCAAACCACAATGACACGAGTCACTGCTTCCATATGACTATACAGGTAATTTCTTCTATTAAACCAGTGGTGGAAGAGGTATTCAGACCTTAGATTTAAAAAAAAAAAATGAAGTGAATTTAAAATCCAACTTAGTTAAAAGTCCTTAAAAAATGTACTTAATATACTTAGCATTATCAGCTTACTGTACTCAAAGTATAAAAAGTGGAGCTAGTTTAAAATACTGTGTATACAACCAGGGATTTAAGTCCAGTGGTTCCAAGCCTAGGGGTCCTGCTCTTCCAAAGGGTCAAAAGATAAATCTTCTGTTCTGCTACACCAGTTTGTTTTCAGTTTTTGGACTGAATCTTTAAAAAAAAAAAAAAAAAAAGGGATAATTCTACCTATTTTGGCATACATCTTTAACAGAGATACCAGTTGTTAAGTTTAGATGGGAAATTCCTCATCAACAATTCATAGCCATCTGAAATATGAAAATATTTCACCCCAATTAGACAATGCTTTTTGTGAGGGATCACTAGCCAAAAAGACTGGGAGCCACTGTGTCCTTCAACAATACTCAAATAAAGTACAAGTACCTCAAAATTGTACTAAAGTACAATACTTGTGTAAATGTAGTTAGTTAGACTGTATGACATGTATGCTCTGCGTTTGGTTGTTATCAGGCTGTCCTCCTGAGTTCTGGGCTTCAGACTGTCGCCAAGTGTGTCGGTGCCACCCACACGGCCGGTGTCACCCTGTCACCGGTGAATGCACCTGCAACCCCAACCGCTGGGGTCCACTGTGCCAGTATGCCTGCAAGTGCGCCCGCCATGGCCACTGTCACCCCGTCCACGGAAATTGCACCTGCGATGCAGGCTGGTGGTCACTAACCTGCTTTAAGCCATGCCAATGCTTCAGTGTGGGCTCTGTGGGCCCCAGCTGTGACCAGCTAACAGGCCGATGTCAGTGTCAAAGAGGGCACTGGGGGTTGAGATGTCCCGGCGCTTGCAACTGCCACATGTCGGCATGTAACCAGCGGACTGGTGTGTGTGAGTGCGAGGCAGGCTGGTGGGGCCCCGGTTGTGAACGCAAATGTAACTGTGACCACAAACACAGCACCTGTGACCCGGCTAACGGGGAGTGCCTGTGCCACCCGGGATACAAGGGTATGTTCTGTAACCAGCCCTGTGAATCTGGGAAGTATGGCAGTGGGTGTAAAATGAGGTAGGTGTGTGGAGGTAAAATATACGTTACATTTACACCTGTGGGTTTCCACGCTGAGCTTGCAGGACATTTTATTTACCATGATAAACTCTGACTGGCTCTCCTGATTTTATCTCCCGTCCTTAGTTGTGGTTACTGTAAAGACAACCAGCTTTGCTCTGCCACGGATGGTGCCTGTGCCGCCTGTGAACCCGGCTGGAACGGTACACAGTGTGACCTCCCATGCCCGTCTGGTTATTACGGTGACAACTGCCAGGAGAAATGTCCACACTGCAGGAACAATGAACCCTGTGAACCAAAAACTGGGAAATGTTTGATGTGTGACCCTGGATGGACTGGACCCAGGTGTGCACACATGTTGGATGCATGTGTGAAAATGTTTGACCACACTGTACATAAATTGCACTGAAGGTTACAGGATCATTGGTGGATTTTTCATGTCATCATTTCAGACTGTCAGCGTTTCATACTGGCAACAATTAATTTTTCTCTTCTACCAAAGGGGAAATAAGCTGAGGTTTAGGATGAGAAATTGAAGTCCTCATTATTTGTGTCCTTGGTCATTGCTCCCTGTCGCCCAGATGTGAGGAGGCCTGCTCTGACAGGACGTTCGGAGATGCCTGCAGCTTCCTGTGTAGCCCTTGTTTCCATGGTAACTGCCATCATGTGACAGGAAGATGTGTCTGTCAGCCAGGCTTTCAGGGAGAGAGGTGAGTTTGGCTGGAAGAGTTACTGAATACACACACACACGCACACAAATGATTTAACCATCGACAACACACGTGATAGTATTATTCTTGTTCCTCCACAAACAAGAGAAACTAAGATGAAACTCTTTCATACTGTGTTTTGATTTTTTCAATTGTGCCTGTTTTGAGTTTGTTACATCACATAAATAAGGTAGTAGCGAAATGTAACAGTAAACCAGTCCAGCTAAAAGCTGGAGGTAACTAGCCAAGCTTAAATGCCTTTTACATTGTCCAGACACAGATTGTCCGATATGATAATCATCTAAAAAAGCATGAATTTATATAGCTGTTACACAGAAGAGGCCTGAGACTTTAAACTTATTTATAGATAGATAGATAGATAGATAGATAGATAGATAGATAGATAGATAGATAGATAGATAGATAGATACATACTTTATTTATCCCCTAGGGGAAATTCATTTGTCCATTGCTCATTGTTGATAATAATAATAATAATAAAAACAGCTAATAATGCATAAACAATAATAATTATATTAGTCCACTTCCTTTGGCTGAGTTGTATAGCCTGATGGCAGTGGGAACAAAGGATCTCCTGAACCTCTCTGCTCTGCAGCGCAGTGAGATGAGACGTTTGCTGCAGTTGTAGCTGCTTCTCTGTCCTGCCAGAATGTTGTGGAGAGGGTGGTTGGTATTGTCCATGATAACCTCCATCTTACATTGCATGCATCTCTCCACAACAGTCTAGAGTGAGTCCAGACTCCTGCCAAGCACAGACTCAGCCTTTTTTACTAGCATGTCCAGTCTCCTTGTGTTCATGTCAGACATGCTGCTGCCCCAGCAGACTGCAGCATAACCCAATGACCCTGTGAACCAAAAACTGGGAAATGTTTGATGTGTGACCCTGGATGGACTGGACCCAGGTGTGCACACATGTTGGATGCATGTGTGAAATGTTTGACCACACTGTACATAAATTGCACTGAAGGTTACAGGATCATTGGTGGATTTTTCATGTCATCATTTCAGACTGTCAGCGTTCATACTGGCAACAATTAATTTTTCTCTTCTACCAAAGGGGAAATAGCTGAGGTTTAGGATGAGAAATTGAAGTCCTCATTATTTGTGTCCTTGGTCATTGCTCCCTGTCGCCCAGATGTGAGGAGGCCTGCTCTGACAGGACGTTCGGAGATGCCTGCAGCTTCCTGTGTAGCCCTTGTTTCCATGGTAACTGCCATCATGTGACAGGAAGATGTGTCTGTCAGCCAGGCTTTCAGGGAGAGAGGTGAGTTTGGCTGGAAGAGTTACTGAATACACACACACACGCACACAAATGATTTAACCATCGACAACACACGTGATAGTATTATTCTTGTTCCTCACAAACAAGAGAAACTAAGATGAAACTCTTCATACTGTGTTTTGATTTTTTCAATTGTGCCTGTTTGATGAGTTTGTTACATCACATAAATAAGGTAGTAGCGAATGTAACAGTAAACCAGTCCAGCTAAAAAGCTGGAGGTAACTAGCCAGCTTATAATGCCTTTTACATTGTCCAGACACAGATTGTCCGATATGATAATCATCTAAAAAAGCATGAATTTTATAGCTGTTACACAGAAGAGGCCTGAGACTTTAAACTTATTTTAT